TACCTACCTAGATAGCATCCCATTCTTACATTTTTCTCAGCCCTACTCTCCATCAAAATTGATCCACCTTTCTCTTTCTGCTGGGCTCCTCCATAGGACGACCAGAGCTATTGCAATAATGAGTTACAGTTTTATGCTTTCTAGATATCATTTGCATCCTGTTATAGCATCAATGTCTTCAAATAAAAGTGAGTACTTTGACAGTTTCAAGTATGATATAGATGGTACCCGCAATCTGCAAGTATTTCTAGAGGTGGGTTTGGTAGCAATGAGGCAGTACACAGAGAAGAGATATAGATTGAAATGTGTATGTGCCATTGAGTCAGTCCTGTCCTCAACACTCCTTAGACAATGTGATGTTTCAAGACAGAATACAATCCAGTTTCTCCCAAGTTTACAAGGAGTAGTACAATTTTAATATTTTTTACTAGATGCAAAAATGAGTGCACAATGCTACATTGGGAAAAATACCACCAACAGCAAAAACTTTAACTAGAATATGATAATATAAAGTGAGACTATATGTACTTCTACTTAAATGTGTTTTTTTCCCGTTTCCAGTTTTACCCTTAAAATTAGAAGCAAAATTTTGTAGTAGGTACTACTTCTGATCTGTACTTTGCTTTTCTAATTACTTTTAACTTCGTTATATAGTATCCTGAACTTGTGGTATCCTTGCACTGTTAGCATTAATTTATTATACTTCCCTCCCTGGGCTAAATTTAAATGCTAGGCAGATTTTGTTCAAGCTCTAAACCCTTCATTTGAGTAAGTTAAGTTGTCAATCTAAATAAATTATGGATTTGAGCATATAGATTGAGGTAAAACAAAAAGAGTGAGGGAAATTCTCCTGGACTCAGGCCCTTGTACAAGTGTATTACCTACCAATCTTAGCTCCACTGGGTTGCGTGTGCATTTGTGAAGAGAACCATATGAGGGACTGTGGATAATTCAGCCAAAATCATTGGCCATTACTGGGAAAAGCTTAAAGAACAAAAGCAAAACATGTCCTTCAGTGACTTTGCCCCATTTCAAGCACAATTTCAATGCAGGAACACCCAGTCCTACTCATCTTTATACCAATCATAATGACTAAGCATAGTTCTACTATCTTTAGTGGGTGCGATACAAAATCTGTCCAGTTTCAGTACCATCATAACTGAACTTTGTGTAGTCATGATTCCTTATCTTAAACGCATTTCTCCCTATAAACTAACTTTACCTCAAATGCCCCCCCCCCCCCATAAACTAGAATTTTCTTTGTTTTAATCAGGAAGTCTTTAGAAAAAAAAATCTGTGGAAGACAAAGCTGGTAGGCAAAGATCGACAGCTGCAGTGTTGGCCTGGGTGACCCTTTGAGATCAATTGGAGTCCTGCTAGGGAGGGGTATGCCTGCTGGCCTCTTTCATGTTAAGGTGCCAGGGAAACAAACAAAAAAACCAACAATCCGCTCTTTTAATTTCCTTCATCACCAGTTGAATACAAGAAATAGTTTCAGAGAAACCATTTACTTTCCAAATTAAGCCAGGAACTTACCTTTTTTCCCTGTGTTTATGAATTTATCTCGGGTATTTGTTTAGCAGACCTCTTCGAACTGCACAGTGCTTTCCTTGTTGACTAGTTTCCATCGGCAGCAGCAATTAGCATCGGTTTCCTAGGCAACCATTCTGTACCCTACTGAGAAAAACCTTTTCTTGACAGGAGCATTCTGTCTAAAATTGTCTTGTTTTCCTTCTTTCACAAGTGTACAGTAGGCTTGTCGTTTCTTTTAACACAGCACTATTATGCCTGATGTTCTTAAAAGCAGAAACATGTACTGGCTTTTATATTGTATATGGTTGAATTTATTATCAATGCCACTTACTTCTCTCTTAACAACCTGAAAGAAATCAAGAAAAATACGTTCTCAGGCTTATGCCAACTTCCTTCCTTCCTTCCTTCTTTCCTTCCTTCCTTCCTTCCTTCCTTCCTTCCTTCCTTCCTTCCTTCCTTCCTTCCTTCCTTCCTTCCTTCCTTCCTTCCTTCCTTCCTTCCTTCCTTCCTTCCTTCCTTCCTTCCTTCCTTCCTTCCTTCCTTCCTTCCTTCCTTCCTTCCTTCCTTCCTTCCTTCCTTCCTTCCTTCCTTCCTTCCTTCCTTCCTTCCTTCCTTCCTTCCTTCCTTCCTTCCTTCCTTCCTTCCTTCCTTCCTTCCTTCCTTCCTTCCTTCCTTCCTTCCTTCCTTCCTTCCTTCCTTCCTTCCTTCCTTCCTTCCTTCCTTCCTTCCTTCCTTCCTTCCTTCCTTCCTTCCTTCCTTCCTTCCTTCCTTCCTTCCTTCCTTCCTTCCTTCCTTCCTTCCTTCCCTCCCTTCCTTCCTTGTTGTTCATACTGTAATTGCTGAGCCTTTGCTTGCTCACTGAGTCACAGCTGGTCCTGATGAAAACACAAAGGCTCCACTTTCAAATTCCAACCTCTGTGTACACCAACAGTGTCGTAGATGGCTCTGAAGCAAGTTGACGTTTTCAGGGCCACTGAGAAAGTTACAACTGCATCGCTTGGTTATAAATCAACCACACAATGTCTATAAATTAATATAACAAAATAACTAAACTAAAATATGTGCTAAAAACCAGGCCTCAGACTGTCTTAAAATTTCTGATCTAAGTAAAGATACTGTGACTAGAAGAGCATAGCATGAATCAGCATCATAGAAAAACCAGAGCACTGCAATAGTTAGAAATGCTGGATACTATGGTACAACCATAGAGTCACATTTACTATATCACTTTTGTTTAAATAATAAGTGGCATGAGCCTGATATATTGTCTGTGAGGCAGTGACCCAACATTCAGGCAAGGAAGTACTCACTGGGAAAAATGACAGAATCATCTCAATGGATGACAAAAGTTTTTAAGTTTTTATCGGCATATCAATCAAACAATGATCATAGACTTAGACGTTAGCAAGACAGCAAGAGTGATTAAAACAGTGTTATGTAATTTAAATAAGCATTTAATATACATTATTTCATTTAATTGTCACAGCACATTAAAATATGAATGCCACTTTTATTCCCCTTAGCATGAGGAATCTGAAGGTCAGAGAGATTGTCACTTACTGACCCCCCGCTGGCCTGGTCACCCCCAACTGCCCCCTACTGCTGGCCTGGTCGCCCCCAACTGCCCCCGCAGATGACCTGGTTGCCCCTAACTGCCCCCCCACCGGCCTGGTTGCCTCTTATTGCCCCCCCCCCAGCATGGTCACCCCAAACTGCCCCCCTCT